ACAGGAACAGGAACAGGAACAGGAACAAGTGGACAGTGTCCAGGTGATACAGAAAATAAGTATTCCACAACAATGCCAAACAAATGGAACAAACAAGTTTGTTTTGCTTAAAAAACAACAATAAAACTCTTCTTGAATGTGTAGGCGTCATCCACGTGTGATTATAATCAAATTCCACCGAAGTAAAAATATAAAACAGGCATTAAATAAAACACTAACATTTATCTGCTTCACTGCTGCACTGAACTCACTGTATGACAGACAAGAGTCAAAAAACAACACTTTCAAATATTTAGTCTGCAAAGAGTGAATAATTTAAGGGTATGGTAAAAATATGAGGGAGTTCAGAATCTAACTTGGTCCATAAAAACCTTTTGCACTTTGCAGCAGTCTAAAAAAATAAATAAATTCACTTCAGCAGATGACAAACAACCCTGTACACTGAGCACTAAGAACCCGAGGGAACATTAAAAACATGCAGCTAAACACTCCTGCCTGCAACTGTGAATCTTTTAACATGCCCCACCCCTCAAGAAATAAATAAACTTTTACGTTTATGTCAATTACTAAACGCCCCCACAGGACAATGCACCAAAATAACTACACCTGTTAATGTTTCAGTTATTGTGGAAAGATTTAAATGTCATATTTTTACAGTTGTCCCAAAGACTTTAAGTCCAACCTGAAGGAAAAAGTAAAATAAATGTGAGGCAGATTGTGATTTCAGTGTTGCTTTACCTGTTTTATTGAAATTAGCTGTAATTCACTCTGGAAKTGAGTTTTGTCTTTCAGCATGAACTTTTATTTCCCATTCTAGTTTTACAGATTTTTTTTCCTTATGCAAAGTTTATTTAAAATATATCTAAGTGCTGTGCTTGAATTAATAGACATTATCAAAATCATAGAAAACCAAATGAGTCATCTATAAAAGTAAGTAAATGAACTTTTATACTTGATTAAAAACCAACAAACATCAATGAGTTTCAAGGTAATGTTTGAAAATGAGTTTTAGTTTTCACAAATATGGTAATTGTTGGTTCCATAGAGTCTACAGATTTGAAGGCCTGGTCCCCACCCCCCACCCCCTGTGAACAAGTCTGGACCTTAGGTCAGCTCGTTGTAGATCTTTAGACCTAGAAGATGTACCTAAAGTCTGAAGGTCAAAGGTTCATTGTCAAAATGTCTGTTTAAAGGGGACAAATCATGTGAAACCCACTTTTTTAGCCATTAAAAACATTTTGTTGTGAACTTGAAATCTCTAGGAGTTGAATTTAGTCTCTCCTATTGTTGTAAAGATACCCTTTTCTGTTTGGGTCATATTTTTCAACCCATTCAGTTTTCTCTGTTCTTGTTTTGGGTCAGACGAGGCTTTTTTTATAATTATTTTTATGCATTAGAATGAGAAATGTATATGTAATAAATGAAACATTTATAAATG